GGCATGGCACATACAGCACCTGCACGAGTCTCCGCAAGCAGCCTGGAGCATCGCACAGGTACTAAGACGCATGCGTGAACTGCGCGCGTGCACGAGGACGGTTGGAATGGGATTAGCAACCCACCCCTGCCTTAGTTAGCTGACAAGCAGAAAACCATCTACTTCCTCTGCTTGGTTGGGTGGCCTGTAGTATAGACCTATGGCAATGTCATTTCCCCTCCCAACCTTTAATATTGATCCAAATGCATTCAAAATAGTTCTCATCATTGTTGTGCTCTATTTCTGTAGAAAGATAATTATTTCTTATATATAGGACAACTCCACCTCCTCTTTTATTTGGTCTATTTCTATTTCTAAGACCTACATCCTACTTTAAATAAATATCTTAGAATTTCTGAGAAAGAAATTTCCCTCCAATGAAGGCAAATAAACCTGTCCAGGATTCTGTAGAAATTTCTCTATTCTGGGAAATCATGGATATTTCAACTGGCGTGCAGAATTTGAGTGTGTGAACAAACTGATACATATGCACACAGCGGCAAACCACTCCTGAAAAACCTTGCCAAGGAAACTGCAGAGACTTGTTTAGGAAGTTGCCAGGAATCAAGATTGACCTAAAGACACCAAAAGACAAAGAAACTTTAAGCAATATAACTTGGAAGGAGCTACAAATGGAACTACTGCTGCCGCCTGGCCTTGTTTATAGGTTTCTTGGAAATACTCTGTTGGTAACTGGAGAAAGGGTGTTATTCTGTATTGTACTGCACAGAACAGTGAGGATAGATGTAGTCCATTAAGTTCAATCAGCCTTATTTGCAAATAATCATGCTTAGGATTCTAAAGGTGGTAAGTTAACGATTGAATTATTTGAACAATTTTGCAAAGCTTTATTAAGAACAGCTATTTTGGTTTCCTATTGATTTTATTTATTTCTAGGGGATGGCTATTGCTATTCTAGGACCAACATTTCAAGACTTGGCTGCAAATGTGAACAAAAATGTCAGTCAAATTTCATATATCTTCGTGGGCCGTTCAGCGGGATACTTTAGTGGTTCTCTAATTGGTGGAATACTTTTTGACTGCATGAACTCCAAGTTACTTTTGGGTAAGTGAACAAAAATGAATATGAATAATATAGTAGACCTTGTAGTAGAAGAGGTGTTGCATATCTATCCCTAAGCAAGTAATAATTGTGTTTGTGGATATACTACATTACATTATAATGAGAATTAGACACAGGCAATATACAACGTTGAAAATCCTTCTACTTGGCTGGTCAGAAATGGGATAGTAATTGTATCAGTTCTTTCCCTCTAATCTTTTTGTGAAGTTATTTTAGCTTCGTCCAAATGTGTATCTATTACAGGGATGAACAAAATTATTGGAGGGACCTTGGAATCATGTAGTTCAGCTCTCTGCAGAACTTTCAGAAGAGTAGAATCTATCAACTCATAAATCTCTTCTTGCAAACCCTTAGTTTTCTTGGTGTTTGTCTTCTACATGTGCCCTAGTTGGTGCTCATTCTAAAATGTAATGCTCAGAATTTAATATTATGACTGCTATCTACCAACCAATAAATCAGGCTATTTAGCTGTATTTAGTCAAATTTCTACTGCATCCCGTTTTTGCAGTGGAAAAACGGGTTGCAGTAGACATCCCTCAACAAAACTGAACACTTGCATCACTTGTAATATGCTGTATTCTTTGGAAAAATATCAGGAGTGAATTCTTATAGTTTTAGGCCAGTGACTTTAGGCTATGATTCATAAGCAATTTATATCAAAATAAGGAGCATAAAGAACTGAAATATTTTGATACTTCCTGTTCAGCAGTCCCGTCTACTAGAAAAGTCATTCCCTTTTTAACATGGTCAAGGAAGTGCTTTTTTATTGATAGCTTCCTTATTTGCATTAGTTATTTAGAATATTACTTCAGGCTCTTTTTAATCTCACTTGCTCAAGTGTTCTCAATCCTTTTGCTTCAGATTTGTTTCAGTATCATAATTCTTTAGTAACAAATGGGTTTTAGGACTTTTAAATACATTACATATAAAGATGTATCACATAGAAATGCCACTGAACTGTAATGTAAGTTTAATGGCATTTCTATGTGAGACTACCTTCCTAATCTCCATGGAAGACTTCCTTTTGCAGTCTAGAGGCTTTCAGTTGTATTTGGAACTAGCTTTTCCAGAGCTCCATTTTGTGCCCCATTCCTGAAACAGGAAGCCTTGCTTACCTGAGCCACGGTGGCGCAGTGGTTAGAGTGCAGTACTGCAGGCTACTTCTGCTGATCACCGGCTGCCTGCAGTTTGGCAGATCGAATCTCACCTGGCTCAAGATTGACTTAGCCTTCCATCCTTCCAAGATCGGTAAAATGAGGATCCAGATTGTTGGGGGCAATATGCTGACTCTGTAAACCGCTTAGAGAGGACTGTAGAGCACTATGAAGTGGTATATAAGTCTTATTGCTATTGCTACCTCCTATTTCAATTACTGTAGCAGACTGTATATGGGGCTGCATTTGGATGTGACAGCTAGTCTAAAACATGGCAGGCTGGTCTAGGGATGAGTATTTTTCATTATACTTGGGTGATCCCACTGCTTTGGGGGTTCCATTGGTTGCCAGATGACTTAAGGATGGAGTTGAAGGTGCTTCTTGTCACCTTTAAAGTCTCATGGCTCCAAACTCAGTTATTCTGAGGGACCACCTTCTCCATGTTCATCTGCCCACCCAGTCAGATGAAATAAAGTAATTTCTGGCCAGGTCTCATCTGGTTCAAGAATGCCATCTGAAAGATGCCTAGGAAACAGGCATTTGCTGCTGTTATGCCTTGGATCTGGTCAGTCCCTTCTCTCCTGGGTTTTGGAGAGCAGAGAAAACCCAGCTTTTCCTGGTAGCTCAGGAGGAAAGCATGTTACGAATTTGCAAGTGGTGGTGGTCAGATGTCTTCATATGCTTCATCTCTTATGATAGGATTTTTAATTCATTTGGGGTGGAATTATTGGTGTAGTTGTTGGAGAGGTTTTTTTTATGAAGTTTGTGGTTGTTAGCCAATTCATGCCTTTAGGATTGGACAGCATATTAATAAACAAACTCTTCAAAATTCTAAAGGAGTCAAAGTTTGGGGAAGGATAATAAGCCATTTTAAATTGTGAAGGAAATTGTTTTCCATGCTGCAGTATTTCTAAACTATTGAAGCAAGGCTTTTTAACCATTGAGCAACCTTCTGGAAACTAATAACACAATCCAAAATATACTATTCAGAAGACAGCCTCATAGAGAGCATTATTCCAAATTATAAATGCTTATGATTGCAGCCTAAAATGTGACTACATTTGATATAAGACTGCTACATTAAATATGCGACATGATGTAGTAATAATAGTAGTAATAATTCTAAATACAAATAAAAAATTACTGGCTTTGAATTTACTGGATTTAAAATGAAATATGAGGAATTTTAATTCTTAAAATGTTCTATTTGAAATTTTTAAATTATATTTATAGGATTATCCATGCTGGGTACAACACTAGGTCTATATGCTATTCCATGGTGTAAGAAAGCCATCTTGTTAACGACCGTGATGGCTGTCATTGGTTTTGCAATGGGAATTCTGGATACAGGTAAAAAACAACAACTTACTACACATAATCTATTTTTTTCCTTCCATCATGTTGCGATCATTCAATGGGACTGTGTTGCATTCCTTTATAATAAATTATTTTGTTCCTAATACATTGCTAAATGTGTATCATGTGCACAAAACGGTTGAACCTGCAAATTTCCTTACTTGACCAAAGGCCAAACTAAATTTCACCACTTGGTTATACTTGCCTTTTCCTGTTTGCAGGCTCTTCTGGTGGAGTGGGTAAACATTAAGAGATTGAGAATTGTATGTACTTTAGCTCTAAGTTGATTTGTATATAGAAAGTTTTCTTCACATATCTGCACATGTAGATGGGATGCATTCATTGAAAAGAACGTGATGTGTAAAATTTTGTCTACATGGATGTTGTCAAACCCAGTTGATGTGGTACAGTTGTTTCAGGATATTCTGTGGACTGAAAATACAGTTCAGCTATCTGATAAATCCAACTTTCAATTATTGGTGCTTTAAATACTTCAGTAATGTTCTGGCTGATGGTTACAGGAGATCATTGTTCTTGCTGAGGGCATCAAGAGAAATGCTACAGTTCCATGGTAGGGACATGAAAAGATGACTCAGACCAGGACTGAGTGAGAGAGGAAGAAAGAAAGCCAAAATATTGTTTAAAAGAGTAAGCCTATTGGACACCTTCATGCAGTTTTCATAACAGCCGCATGGAATTGGCTTGCCAAATAACATACAGCCCTATAGTTCTCTGGTAGTCTAAGTATTAAGTTGGTCTGATCATGCTAAGTGGATATTAAATGAACAGAAGTATACTTTGGAAATCATAGAAAGTAATAATTCCACTTTAATCTATATTCATACAACCTTTAATTTGTATATTGTGTACAGTTCTGAAGACCATATTTAAGGTTTTAGAGAAACAAATATATTAGTTTTGAAGAAATTATGAATGTTTGTCCTTCAGAAGACTGATAGAGGATATGATAATACTTTTCAAATACTAGAAGAGTAGAGTAATTGGCAAATCAAAGCCTGTTTTCTAATATTTCAGAATTCAGGACATAGAATATTACGTTGAAGTTACAACAAGGAAAATTCCAACTGAAAGTTTGAAATAACTTCTTGAGCTGTAAGAGCAGTTAGTAGCATAGTAGAACCAATTGTCCAGAAAAATGGTGGCTTTGGGTTTCTGTTCATTGGGTGTATTTACATGGCCATGTTGTTTTAATTTGGATTCTGGCCCTTAGCAGTAGTTGGAATTGACTTTTTAAATGGCCACTTCCTAAGTTCATTGAAATATAATATATAGGAAAGTGTAGATGTAGCCATAAGAAAAAGTAATTTAAAGAAATCAAAAGATAAGAGTATCAGATGAATGACAGTGTTCTTGGGACTTATTTTATTACTTTTGGTTAGATTTACATTCTGTTTTTCTTAGAGCAGCTTCAGTTGTTTCTCCACAGCAGCCCTGGAAACAAAGTTGGACTAAAAAAGAATAACTAGTCCCAATTCATCCACTGAACTTCCATGGCTGAAGATAAAGTTGAGTTTGAATCTACCTAGTGCTTGTACATCATAATAATAGACAGCTTTGGCTTCTAGCGATTCCAGTTCATTTTACTCCTGTCCACATTAATTTGGACTGTTGGAATTGGAGTCTAGCAACATCTGGAGGATACTATGACTCCCTCTCCTCTGTTGCGTTTGAGGTCATTTCACAAAGTTGAAATCAGGAATGAACTGTAATGATAAAGAAACAAGACAGTGAGGGAGAAAATTGCTTTCATAATGACAAAATTGCAAAAGTTAGTACCTACCTTGAAAAGATGAAAGTTGGAATATGAAGGGAATGGCATACATTAGGTCAATGTTGGTGAACCTTTTTGGCACCAAGTGCCAAAATGGTAGCATGCACATGCATGTGGGGAAGCACCAGAAACTGGAAAAGCAGCTCCCCAGTGCGCAAGTGCAGGAGCGCCGGAAACCGGAAGAGTATGCGCGAGCTGGGAAGCTGAGCTTACAATGTATGCATGCGCATCAGTCTTCTGGTTTCTGGTGTGAATGTGTGCGTAAAGACCAACTGGCTAGCACACATGCGTGCACCGGAAACCAGAAGTTCAGGTTCCCGGTGTGTGCCTGCGTGCCAGGGAGCTGCTCTTCCAGTTTCTGGCACTCCCGCTCGCATGGAGAACAGCTGGCTAGTGCGCATGTGCATACCGGAATCCAGAAGAGCAATGGGCAACGGCTGGCATACTCGGAGAGATGGCTCTGCATGCCACTTCTGGCACGCGTACCATAGGTTTGCCATCACAGTGTTAGGTGAAGATGTCATATAAGTCTATGAAACTTTTTAATGTGAAAATTTGACCCTGAATCTTTATCTTTCAGGTGGGAATGTTCTGGCTTTGGACACATGGCAAGCAGAAGCTGGTCCTCACATACAGGCCTTGCATTTCAGTTTTGCCCTTGGAGCTTTTGTAGCTCCCATCCTGGCGAAGATGGCCCTGGGTGGTTCTGCCCTTGAATTGCAGATCCATCCGGGTAGCAGTGTTGGTAACCAGTCAGCTATGAATTCTCCTCCTGGAGCTACGTTGTTGCCGAAGCTTCATTTAAACTGGAATTTTGTGTGGTCTTATGCTGTGATTGGCACTTACCTCTTACTCGTTGCATTGTTTTTCTTTACTTTATATTTGAGGAGCATTCCTGTTCGAGGTAGAACAAAACTTTCCGTGCAGAAATACCAAATTGCGAAATATCACTATGCTCTCATAGTGCTCCTTTCTGTGTTTTTTTTTTGGTACGTTGGAGCAGAGGTAACCTATGGCTCCTACATTTTTACTTACGCAAAAACCTACGCCCATATGAAAGAAAAGGAAGCAGCAGGATTGAACTCTCTCTTTTGGGGCACCTTTGCAGCTTGCAGAGGATTGGCAATCTGTTTCGCAGCCTGCTCTTATCCTGGATCTATGATCCTGATAAGTATCATAGGCTCTACTGTGTCATCACTCTTCCTGGTCCTCTTCAATGTACACACAGTCACTCTGTGGGTTGGTTCCGCAGTGTATGGTGCCTCAATGGCTACTATCTTTCCCAGTGGCATATCTTGGATAGAGCAGTACACCACCATTCAAGGGAAATCTGCAGCAATGTTTGTCATGGGTGCAGCTCTAGGAGAAATGTGTATTCCTGCGGCGGTTGGCTTCCTTCAAGGATATTTTCCCACTCTCCCAGTGCTCATGTACACTGCATTGGGAGCAGCTGTCATGACAGCTGTACTGTTCCCTGTGATGTGTAAATTAGCGGCATCAGCTGCTGATGCTAAAGTGAAGGATGCCGGAGACAGGGAAGTTCAAGAAGCGTTACTGTCCAGCACTTATCCGGAAGACGATGAGGAGGATAATGAAATCAGAGAATGGAATGAAGTAGACTTTGAAATAATTGAGATGAATGACACACCCCGGAACTCTGTCATAGAGACCTCCAAGAAGATCCAAGAAGAATTTACTACCACCAACTCTGGCCAGCTTCCTTCAGAGAATTTGTCATTTAATTCTTCTCCTGTACTTGTCGTCAGATCCCCAAAACAGAATAAGAATGATTAAGTTATCTTAATTTCAACTTTAAGATCATATATTATTTCAATATTGGTGGGAAGTTTGCTGAATTCTAAGCAAGGCCTTTTTATTGTAAAGTCTGAGGGAAGCGGTAACTCTGAAAGGAGTTGAACTCTTTGTTTAACCATGAGAATGACTGAAAGACAAAGTAGAATGTTTCCTAAATTTCTTCTTGTAATATTTTTTTCAGGAAAATGAAAACACTAATTAGAATAAATAAACAGAACTTGTTTTCTACTCTAGCAGTCCCCAAACTTTCCGGATCAGAAGGGACGGCAGGTGGAGAGAGGGGATGATTTCGTTTGTGTGCCACTTTCCACCAATGCAGCTTTGTGCATGCGCACGCTCGCCCACTGCTTGTGCAGCCCAGTTACCAATGGGCCACAGTCTGGCTCCAGGTTGTGGACCAGGGGTTGTGGACTCTTGTTTTCCTCAGTGTTGTCTTATAAAATGATGTTTATAATCTGTGTACTGTGCTACAAGAGGCTGAAGAATAAGAATCTTCAATTCATTGAGGTCATCTCTGGAAACAAGATAAATCTGGAAAATCAATCCTTGAAAACCTCTGCATTTCTAACTCAACAGTTCCATGTGTTTAGATTGAATCCTAAATATATTCTATCCTATTTAACAAAAAGAATTCTTTTTGAAAAAATAAGTACATGGCCACAGTTATGGTTAAATTAGCAAATACATATTTTAAAATTTTGCTCAGAAGCACTTTTATAATGGAAATAATTGCTGAAAAGGATTTAAGTTTATACTGATATAATAGCTACAGTAACTCTGGGAATTGAATAAACTGGAGTTAAGATTGCTCATTGAGTTTAGCAACAATGCAGCATAATCTCAGATCATGCTCGCAAAGCAGATCACCTGCAATACCAAGAGGAATCCTATGGCTGCTTTGGGATTTCTGAAATAAATCTTGTAGTCCATTGCAGACTTTTAAGGGGTAAAGAGGATGAATTTGTTTCCCAGAAATTTGATCATTTCAAAATGTAAACTGGGTTGTTTTTTTCTCTACCTGCATTTTCAAGTACAGAAGTATAATTTGTTGTCATCTCAGCCACACTATTAAGTGACCTTATATTTAAATAGTAGGATCCTGTGGTACTTGATATGTTCATGTAACCTCTTGGATAGTTGAGTTTTAAAATTAAAATCTAAGAAACTTCCCATCAGAGATGTTATATTATAAAATATAAATCAGTAAAAATCTTTTGGTATTTTTCAAAAACCATCTTTCAGCAAATTGTTAAGATATTGTGGACATAACTATAATTGAAAATTCAAAATCTATCAAGAGCTGGTGATATGCACTGAAGCCACCTTTCCCACCTTTGTGCCTTCTAGATGTGTTTGACTGCAGCATTCATAATTCCTAATCAGTAGGATTTTTGTGTTGGGTAAAGATTAAAGGAATTTAGAACCATTATATTTAAACATAATCAGGCTGGGGAGGCTAGTTGAAAAAGTGACTTTCTTAAAAATTAAAAATTGTCATTGTGAAAAGAAAAATCAGTGCTAATTATCTCTACAGTACCCGTGTGTTGAATTCAGAAAGCCTTATTGTGGCTAGTGTTGGAGAAATGTTGAAATTGTGATCATTTTTTAAAAATTATTGATCAAAATATATTCACTGATATTTTAACTGCTAAAATTAGATGCTTGTAAGTGTAAAATGAACACCAGATGTGATTAAAATGCAATAGTGTTAGTGTTTCTATACCACTGTAAATGAAGATTGAGTTGTGATGAGAAGGATCATTTGAATGATTCTTATTCTTCTTAGATAATTATGGTAACTACTGCAGCTTCTGTAGTAGGCTGCCTGAAGTTACTGAATATTAATTTATATGTGGAATAGACACTTTTGAAGAGTTTGGGATCTTTCTTTTCTCTGTACACCAATAAACATGACTGAAGTTGTTCTGAGGGCCCTTTGGGTGCAGATCAAATTGTGGGGAAAGTAGACCAAGGGAACTTGATGGCTATGAGTGGCCGTTGTTTTACCTGTTGTTAAATGTAACCCTTAATATCACTGGGGGAGATCATGTCTCCCAACAGTGTATATATTACATCTTTTTGGATGTGTGCATGTTGAAGTTAATAGTACAAAAAACTATGAATCGCTTTGACTTATACCTTTTGATACTTTGTTCTATTCTACAGTATGTTATTTGCCCCTAAGTATTGCAATTATTGCTTGGATATGATTTTGTTTTCTTGTGTGTTCCCAATGTTACAATAATTTTGTAATAAAATTGAAATAGGGAGTGTATTTACTGGGGAATTGGAAAATGTTATTTTTCTTGAATAATAATAATATACCTCCTTAGTAGGGAATCAATTACAAATATGCTGAAATAAGCATTATTAGAGATGTGTTTTTCCCCCCCACCGTTTATAAAGTTTTTTACTATTGTCTATGCAGATTCTCAGTCATCCAGGTCATGGTTGTTGCAAGGTGCTTTTTCAAGAGGCAACTGGACTTTCTGGGTTTTTTCTTCTTCTCTGAAGATGTTTCACTTCTCATCTCATTCACAGCTGAAGAAGCTTCTTGGATGAGAAGCGAAACATCTTCAAAGGAAAAAAAAACCTAGAAAGTCCAGTTGCCTCTTGAAAAAGCACCTTGGCGTTTTACTATTGTGTTTTGCTTCTTCACAATGATATCAGGAAGCCCCTGAGAAAGACTGCAAGTAATAATTGAATAGTTGGTGCACGATGAACAGACAGTTACAAGGACAAAGCTTAGACACTAATTACTATACAGATAGTAACAAATATTCATGTTTTGCTTGAAGCCTGGAGAAGTTTTAGATGGTACAATATAAGTATGATACTGAATGTGTTGACCATGGAGTTCACCAAAAGGAAAAGCAATGAGTGCTTGTCTCTTTAGGAATTTATTTCTAATAGCATTCTTCTTTGCCATAACACTTGTGAACTAAGCATGGATTGATTCCTGCTTGTGCAATGGGAATAAATGGTTGCATCTGGGGTTGTTTCACAGGGTTCAGCTTTCTTCCCTGTTAACATTTAAATGAAGCTGTTGATTGGGGAAGGCACCATTGTTAGATGACAGATAGCATCAGGTGGAGACCATGACCAGTTTTTGCTGGTGTCATTTCAAGCCCTTTTTTATTGGGAGGTCTTGACAAAAGTGACTGAGGCATTCATCACATCAGAGGTAGCACACTTTACACGGGGCAGCTTTTGGAACAATCATGAAGTTGTAATGAGTCCATATTATGAAACTTGTCTACCTACTGGTAGGTCCACTTTAACAGTATTGACAACTTTGCTACATTTGCTGTACTGACTGGTGGTTTGGTTCTAGATCCAATTCAATCCTACAGTCACTCCAGGATACTTTTGGGACTAACTTTCCTGACCAATTGCATAAATAAGCCCCAAGCCCTAATATCATGAGCTGGGGACCCTCCCATCCCCTTTCCTACAAGCTAGATATTATCTATGTATGCCCCCATAACTGAAATACATTGCTTTCCTGGTGTATAGTGTGTCTCAATCCTCTTGACCTTAAAAAACCACTTAAAAAGCTATTTATTTCATAAGACACTTGGACTGATTAGTTTGGGATAAACACTATAAAAATTTTATAATGATTTTTTGCTTTAAAAATATGTTGGAAAAATGTGATACTAATATCCCCCCCCCCAATCATATAAACACAATTATTGACAGAATTCTATGGTGCAATTCATGAGATTTTATATTCACTGTATAGTTGCTTGAATCATCTGGCTATTTCTGTGGCCATTTGTCTCCTCCAAAGATCAGTAGGCTATAGCATTTGCCAGCTCATATTTTCAAGGGCCATATTCCTTCAGTAAATTCTTCAGTAAAATTCAGAAGAAGATCAAAATACTCTTTGGTATTTTATATATTAATTATAGGCTTTTTGAATAGCAACACTGAGCAATTTCTGCTCATTAAAGAGAACTCTAATCCATGTCAATTTAGTAACATTGTTTAAAACATTCCAGTTCAACTACAATGAGATTTAAAAATGCACATTTATTTGATTTTATTAAATTTACTATGGTTGCAATAATTTTTAAAAACAAAATGATTTCCAATTAAAAAAATGTACTGTGACCACATAATTTCTTATTTTATACAGTTTTACAAATATTCTAAATACACATTTCTTTATGATGGCAAATAAATTTTAACTGTACAGTACATAATGAAATATTTAAGCATATTTAGAAGCAATAGAAATGTCTATACAAAAGCAAAAATGGATTTTTTATTTAAAGTATTGCAACAATCCCACAGTTTATAACAAAAATGTCTTTGCACAGTTCCTCACAATGCCCCCATTAATAGCCAAAGCAAGACAGTGATTTTAGAAAATGTTTCAAAAATGCTACACTTACTACTGTTTGCAGTTTCATCAAAACAACAAATCTACTTGGAATCAAGCAAAATGAAGAAATATCCCAATCAACTTTAAAATTGTATAAAATCCATTGCACATTATTTTAGTCAGTTATTTGAAAAGTAAAAAAGTGTATTTACAAAATATTTTGCAGTCAAAATTTAAAGTTGATGAGATACCAGTAACGCACATCCTGATAGTTCAATAAAACACAATAGCAGTTTCCCAAAGATTTTCAGTATTACTACAGAAATCCACAGGGAATTTTTTTAAATTCTGAAATGGGTTTACAAGATGTTAACACGGTTATTTCAACATTTGTATTATAAACAATGTTAAAAAGGCAAAAGAATGGCATCATTAAAAATGAATTATTAACAGATTATCAAATGTATTTTTAATTTACTTAGAACAAACATTCATTATTTTTAGAACACGTCAACAATGTATGAAAATCCTGGACAAGATGAAATTGAAGGACCATGCAGGACAGTTTTAGAGTGGTAAACATTGAAAACAAAAATAGCACCTGGAATCCTGTGACATTAGGCAATCTAAAACTGATCAAGTAGTTGACGAAGATATGGTGCCTTAGATAATTCTCGGCTCACTCTGGAGACTTTGAAAAGCACCGGACAGTTCAATGAAACACATGGTATCTGTCGATCAAAGCAACTTGTACAATTCTTGCATATCTAGAGGAATATATAATTAATTAGTGCAAAATACAATTAACTGGGGAAAAAATACATAATTAGCACAATTAGCCAAGTACATGGCTATTTCTGTTCAAAGTAATTATGCGCAAGACCAGATAGAAAAGGACATTTACATTTTTTCAGCCTCTGAGAAAATAAATAATAAATAAAAGGAGGCTGGGAAAACTAAGATGGCCACTGATTAGGAACATCTCAAATGGTCATAAAGCAGGCCAAACAGTAATGTGGTCATCAAAAAATAATGAAAATGTTAATATGCTGATAATCCATGAAATTATACAATCTTTCAAGTTTCTAGTACTTGATTTGTAAGTATTGCATGCCCCAGGGGGGAAGGGGCGCTAAAGTGTCTACTCCTCTAAGGATTGACACAAGGCGGTTCTGAAAACACATGATTTCCGCCAAATCCTTACCGACTCATTTCAAACCCTTGCACAGACCCTGTAGATCTGTGGACTCTGAAAATCAGAACAAAAAATAGTGTTGAAGATTGCTAAGGATGCATAATGGTAAGTGGAACTTATGGTCCATTGGGTGAATGCCATTATTTTAAAAATTGAAACAAAATTTATACTGGATTCAATCATTCGTTAAGTCTATAATTTTCAAAATACTGACATAATTTTCTTTACTGAAAAATACTGCATGCCTAAAATGCTTGTCAGTATCCAAGGACAATGAATGATCCAACCTTACTGGATAAATCAAATCTTTTAATATGCTAAAATATGAAGTCTCCCAATGCCAAATTGTAATAATTACATTAATATATTACAGGTAGTCCTTGCCTTAGACCACAATTGAATTCAACATTTCCATTGCTAAGCAAGGCAGTTGTTAAGTGAGTTTTGCTCCATTTTATGATCTTTTGCCAATGTTGTTAAGTGAATCATGCAGTCATTAAGTGAATCTGGCCTCCTTCACTGACTGTCTGACAGAAGCTGGCTGGAAAAGGTTACAAATGGTGAGCACATGATCCTGAGACAGACAGACAGACAGTGCAACTGTCATAAATATATGACAGTTGCCAAGTGCCCCAGTGCCATGTGACTCTGGAGTTGCTGCACTGGTCATAAGTATGAAAACCAGTCATAAAGTCTTTTTTTCCCGCTGTGGTTGTAACTTTGGACAGTCTCTAAGCAAATGGTTGTAATGATCGAATGGTTGAAGACTACCTGGAATGTTTTCTTGGCAACAGTTGTCTGAGATTCTTTCTCTCTATCCAGTCTAACTTTCAGCCTTGTAGCCTCTATGTAGCTCATTGGATGTTGCAATGAGAGCGGGAATTGGGAAAAATGGAATGGAAAAAAATCTGCCACTGTTTTCCTTTGAAGTGACATATTACAATCTTACCAATCTGGACCTAATTATAGCATAACCAGGAGCAGTGTACAGACATCCACTAGGGTACATTCTGTATGCTTTGATATTTGGTACAGAACAATATAGTTGGGAAAGATATATGCAAAACATATGTTTCTGAAAAATGTGATTTTTAGAAACTATTCACTGGTGTAATTTGGGTACTTTGAAATTTGTATTTAAAAAAAATGCACGTAATGATTATGGGTTTCCTTCCATTTTTTTTTAAATCACAGGAAACTATATTTTAGTTAAAATTCTTCTAAGCCTCTCCCTTTTAGAGCAAAATTTTTAAAAAGAAATCTGACAGAATGGAGCAAGGAATAGCATACAACAATGATATAGACCACATTTAGGCTGATCAACACGTCCCAGCTTCTGACTGACTGTAAAATGCCTCTTACTTATTTAAATGCTCTCTGGATAGAAATTAAGAGCAAAAAAAAAAAAAAAAAAAGGAGTCTCTGTAATAAAGTGCCATGAAGAGCACAATGATTTTTACGTACTTTCTCATAATCCTATACAATTCCTGTCCTCGGGAGGGTGCAGTTTGACATTATCACAAAAATGCCATATTTTTTTATCCATCAGACATTGAGATACAATTACATAATGTTTTAA